GGCAAAGGTGAACAAAAATAAATAAATAAGTGGAGAGGACAAAAAACAAAGGAGGTAAGTAGAAATATAAAAATCCACATCACGTGTGAAATTTATGGTTTTCAGGGTTTTTCTGGTTTTTATTGTTTACTTGGTTTCCCTAGGTCTTTTCCTGTGTGTTATGAATAAATATTGGGGGGGTTGGTACAGGTACTGGTTTTATTTTGTTGTATTTATCTGCAACACCTTAAAAGCCAGTCTGTGAAAACATTGTCGGACATAAACTGGTCCATGCACAAAAAAGGTTGGGGACTGCTGGTTTAAAGCGATTTGAGTACTCAGTTACAGTAGAAAAGCTCCATAAGAACCAGTTCATTTACCAGTTATAATATTTAGACAATAAAACATGAATCTTTTTGGATGGTGAGGATTTTAAAAAAAGAAAATAAGCCAGTTGAGGTCATTCAGACAAGGCAGACCAACGACTCAATGGAAAGTTGGTTTGTGAAGGCCCCAGTGTCCCCTTGGAAGAGCTGGAGGGAGTGACTGGGGGGATCTGGCCCATCGGCCCTAGAGTCTAAGCACGGGAACGCTAAAGGAACATGGAATAAAAGGTGTTCATGAAAAATAAATGCAAAATACCTCGAACACTCAGAAAGATCCCTTCTCCAAATTCCACCATGTTGGAGTGAGAGCTCCCGCAGTAGTATGTAGCTGAATCTGAGAGGCGGACACCAGAGATTTGTAGATGATTGGTCCCTTCCTTTCTTTCCACAGAGAAACGAGGGTTCTTCTCCAATGTGTGGATGACTTCAGATGGCTTATCATATTTGTAAATTGTAGAGAGGCGCTTAGGTTGGCTTCCTAAGAATTGTCGGTACCAGGAGAAGTGCATCGCCACTTGGCTTTCATAAAAGCAACGCAAAGTCACGTTGTCCCCAACAGCAGCAAATCTCACCCCAGTCTCCTGCTTGACTGTAGCTGACTGGATCACAGCTGACAGATGAACTGTGTCAGAAAAATACACATTGTTAAAGAAGCATAATCAGGTATGAAAATACAACCCTACCTCAATATACATGAATCTTCTACTGAGACACTTACATATCCCACAGAGGATGATACAGAGATGCATCTTTTCAGAGGTCTCGTCAACTGAAGATTTGGAGGAAAAGAGCAGCCAACAGCATAAAAACTGGGTTACTCTTGATTGGTTCTTAAAAGGGTCACCCCGTGTGTTGTTTTAAACTTCCGTCTCAGTGTCATAGAAAAATAAATCTGTTTTACATCAAAGCCACACATGTCAAATAAAGAATATTCTACATTTCTCCACTTTTTAAATAGTCATGCAGTTATATTATCTATTTTTAAAATAAAAAATAATAATAATAAAATAAATATGTGGAAGTCTTTTTTGCAATACCTGACTGTGTATATGAGACAAAACACTTATATTTGAGAAACAAATTTATATTTAAGTCCTCATGAAGTCATTTGTTTACTAAACATTTAATATTGTTTGTCAGTTATATGTAGTTATATGCAGTTTAATTGAACTTGACACAGAGAGCAAATTCAAAGTTCTTTTCAGACCAAAAAGAATGATGTCCTGGTGAAAAGTTGTTCAAACTGTTCAAAACACCAGTAAAACTGACTCAGGCTAAATATTTACTGCAGTGGAATTCAGCTCTTCTTAAGTATACAGAGATCTGGAGTGCCTCCTAGAGCTAACAAGCTGAAATGTGTGGTGAGTCAGGTCGTGTTGCTGAGATTGACTCATAGAGCCAGACTATGATCTCATAGAATCAGCTGATAAAGAAGACTCTTCAAGGTCTTATAGAGTATTAGAAGCTGCATCCACAAACAGAGCTATTTGTGATATAAACTGTCTGATTTTCTAACAAACCTAAATTTGCATATATTTAACTAGGCCTATAAACCCTTTTCCAATTTTCTTCCATGTATATAGCATTATATGTTTGATATGAATGCTCATATCAAACAAATCCAAAGTTTCATAAAATGAGATTTTTGAATGTAAAAAATGCTCCTTCCACTTCAGTGTTTTCTACCAGTGAGCAAGAACTGATCTCCCTAAAAGAACAGAAGCCCCACATTCAGGTCAGTTTTCTGTTTAGAAAAGGCAGCAACTCCCAAGAAAATCTGCAGACTCATTTCAGACGGCGGATGAACCAAGGGCCTATCAGACCCAGTCAAAGATAAACACAGATTATTTGGTATTAAAGAATAAAATACCAGAGCTAGAAGTGAGCATAACAATTTGTTTTTGATATAACTGATAATAAATTTTTCATTTTTTCATGAAAGCACCTAACGTAACATACTGGCCTCATTAACATGCAATTCCTGGTCAGTCTCCCGTTCAAACACACACATCAGCTAGAGGGTTCAGTGTTTTTTATACATCCATGTTTAGTTAAGTGATATAACTTAGACATGACAAGGAAACAGAGGTTGTGATAACTACATTAAAAAAGAACATGTTGGAAGACTTTGTGGTCATGAAACACGAGATAGAACAGAATGAACAATTAAAAAGCGTTCTTACTAACAAATATTGAATAAACATTAGTGCCTCAGCGCGTTGTGGCTGTTCACCTTTTACCCCCTCCATACTGGGCACTGGTATCCCAAAAGGCTACATAGCTGACTGAGTACTATTGACACTATGCAGCTTTGGTAAGTTTGATAATGATCAGCAGTAAACAGAAAGAGAAAGTATTATCATCAACTTGTGTAGCAAAGAATGGATAACCTGAATCTTTATGAGGACACATGAGACGCTCATGGGCTGCAATAAGAAGCAGAAGCGACTATTTGCAGTTGGACATAAGTGGAATCAGCTGGTTTCTTAGCGCGTGGGGGGAGTACCTAAATAGCAATCTTACATATCTTCAAAACAACTTCTCTTGCCAATAAAGCACAGCACCAGATTCATGTTTATTGTCTCACTTTCTGGTGTGCTGTTACTTGCACACAAGGCGTCGATAACTCTTCTATAAACCTGCACGAGTGTGAATGAATTGCTGCCTGACATTTTAAACGGTACTGATGAAAATAGGCTGTGTAGATTCAAATCTCCTGGCATGATGTATTCAATACCACACCCCTTTCTAATGAAATGAAACCCCCCTACAGAACATAAAGTTTCCTGGCTGTAAGACGGTTACACGCAGAATGAGGAGGTTCACTTTAATAACAGCAGTGGTTTTCTGCAGCCGCAGTAAGTACAGCATATCATTATTCTGATTTAATATTAAACGAATTTAATTCTATCTGTCCATTACATAAATAAGTATTATGTTGTATCTGTTTTTCTGTTTCAGGCTGGATCTCAGCTTCTGAGTTTCAGACTGTGGAGGTCCAGCATGGGGACGAGGTCAAACTGCAGTGTTCCAACATTTCCGCCTATCCAACGCAGACAGACTGGTTCAGAGTGGTCAATAAAACTAAGCCCAGCTGTGTTTCTTCTATGTATGGATCTGACAGCGAAGCGTCATTCTGTCATGGATTTAGAAACAGAAATTTTAATATGAGTTCCAACGTCTCTTTTGTCTTCCTTCAAATCAAACGAGTGGATTTATCTGATGCCGGGCTGTATTTCTGTGGATTGTACATCAGTGGGCACACAGTCATTTCCAATGCAGTTGAGTTAAGAATTGAGGGTAAGCTTTTGTTCATGATTTAGATATTTTTATTTCGTTTCTTCATCATGTTTAGCATGAAAACATGTCATGCAATCACAAAATGTTATGATAACGATGATTCTTTACAGGCAATGAACCCAGAGAAGAGGAGGATTTTAATAAGACTGACCGTAAGATTGATTTTTTTGTTTCAAAAGATGTTTTTCAGTTTTCATGTAGTTATTTCACTATCATCAATAGTATATCTAAAGTAATCATAAAAATTATGTTTTTATCTATTTATTTTTGTAGAAGAGCCCAGTGGAACGACAAACCTCATAATCATCGCCCTTGGAGGTCTGACAGGTCTGCTCACTTTAGTCGTTGTTATTCTGGTTCTAAAAATCTGGAAATCTCAAAAAGGTGAGGTTACTTACAAATTACTTCACTCATCTTCTAAACTGATTAACCTGTCCAAAACAATGTATTTGGTTGTTAATAACAAGCAATAATTTTTGGTATTTCCATTTAGCTGCTGGAGAGCAAGAAGAAAATAACAAGGTAAACTCACTTTTTGAGTTTTTCTTCTTTTTTTACAACTAATAACTGTTTTCTGTGATTCAAAAGCTTCATTGAAATGCATAATTACTCTGTGAATAGCGTCGACCTGTTGCATCATAGAGTAAACCCAAGCAAGCAAGCAATTGTAATCTTTTATTTTCTTTGACTTTAAGTAATATCAGAAATGTAGAAAAACTTAATAACTTTAAATTATTTAGTAATAGTTCATCTAGACGAAATAAAAAGTTAATTTTTTTGTTTGTTTTTTTAAAAACAGGCAAACTCTATAGTTTGCAAAACTCCAATTATAACTCTAAAATGTAATGTGGGTGAATGCTAGTTGAAGCATTCACTGTGAAGAGTTTGTCCTTATGACATACAGTATTTGCTGTCTGGGAAGCTTTTTAAACACGTTCATTTTTCCAAAAGGACTTTTTTTAAAACTTTTTCTATCAAAACGGAAAAAAAAAAGAAAGAAAATAATTTGTACTGTATATGTGGTTTTTCATTTATATTTATATTTACCTCTAAAAATCTCACTCTAAAACTCACATAACCCACAAATCCACCTTGGTTGTTTCATGCAGTGTTTAATTAAATATCCTTATTTTCAGAACATGACTTCAGACAATCTGAACTACGCAGCTCTGAATTTCCAGAAAAAGACCAAAAGAAGCTGCAGGCCTGTGACGCAGAGAGAGCAGGAGCCTCACGTTGTGTATGCTGCTACAAGATAGACTGAGGAAGCACCTGCAGCTCCAGCTCTGAACAGAATATACCTTAATCTTGTTAATTTTCAGATGATTTTTTTCTTTTTGTTTGTATGTGTCGTGGTTCACATAAATGTCTTACAAAATAACTAAATAAATGTGCATCCAGTTCATGTTTGCATCCTCTGCTTTTTTGTTATCTTCACATGATTTTCTGTGATAAAAAAATGAAATAAAATAAAAAACTTTAAGTGATTATAGTGAGTGAGTAAGAAATGAGAGTGATGTCTGTTGACTTCCTCGTGGGAGAATCTAATGGTCTGCTGTGGGTGGAGTGACATACATGTGTCAGTCTGACATCTGACAGGAAGTAACAGCAACATGTGGTCTGGGCACAACTGAGGTGACAATCATTAGGCTTCGATAGTAAAAAATGCTTTAAAAAAGTATAAAATCAACATTAATGTGATCTATTAAAACCAGCGGCTATATTTATACATCTGAAATACTGTAAAAATAATCACAGAATATGCCAGTGCCCAGAAGTGACTATGTGCGAATACTATGTGACCCAAAAATAACATATTCACCAGAAACCACAAACACACAGTTCCGTTTAAAGGATATACCAGTCTCATCTGACAATGGTAAATCACTTCACTGTCACATTACTTGTGTGAAGGTAAACATGTAAAGTATTTATGCTTTGAACTTATACAAAGCGAAGACCTTTGTCCATAGTCTGGTCAAGAGCCGAATATTTTCAGGTATTCACTGAAATTGTTTAGCTTGTTGTAGTGAAGTAGATTTTGGGTAGGCTTTTACATGACGTCTGCGAATGCAGCGCTAACATCCACACCTTCCCAGCAGATAATTAGAGGCCTTATAAGAAACAGCTGCTCTTCACTACCACACGGAGAATTTGGCATACTTTTCACATCCAAGGTGGCCGAGTGTGATAGATGGCTAAGCACTGCAGAGCGGTTTGATTCTTCAGGAAAGCTGCTCATTTTAGTATTGCCCTCTAGAGAGTGGATTGTGCCACTGCTGCTGTCTTTTTTCAGTCTTGTTGTCATTTTATAAAAGCTTATGGACTGGCCTTGACTGACTCCTGGTTTCATGGTCTTTTAATCATGCTTTTATAAAGAAGTGTATCTTAGGCTGTATTTGTTTTGTTTATCTCTTTTACTGAATTGTTTAATATTGTATATGTTTTGTTGTTTTGTTGCTTTAGTGGAGGTACGGCCTCTTGCTGTGGGGTTAGCCACGTGAGGTGGAATACCCCCCCGATGCATGAGAGTGTACACAGCAGGAATAGGTAGATTGCACCACTTAGATTGCAGTGTGAGTGACAGTGAGGTTTGCAGTGGAACTACAGTTTTTTTACAGTTCTATGCTTTTAATAGTTTTTCCTAATAAATTTTGATTTGTAAAATTGATCTGCCTCACCTCTGCTTGCTAATAACGAGCCTTAGGGCTTTGGTAGCTAGTATAACATCCACATTGGCTATAGAAATCTCTCGTGGGGTGTAGCTCCCTCCCCAGGCGGTGTTGTCAACATGCCTTAGTCACCTTCCCTGGTTATCCTCCTTCGTGCCACCACAATGTGAACAAAAAAACAACATAGAATAAAGGACTGGTATTCTTATACCGAAGAGCTCAAACAGCAGGTTAAGGACATACGGGAACCACAAAAGTCATATTCATGGTGATACTAGAGTAAAAAGGTCATATCTGTACAAAATGCAAAGCAAAATTTTCAAGAATGCCATTGAACAGAGGTGGTGGCTTACAACACCAGCTGTCAGCTACACACAATGCAGTCTTATGATCCCTTCCCTTCAAATTCAACCTCTTCTTCATATCTTGCCTCCAGTAACTTTAACAAGTCACATGATGAGGTGGGGCAAGGTCTCACAGACGTTTCACCCTTGACCATGAATGATGATAATTGCCTTTTTTCTCATCTTGGCTTATGTGATGTTTCACATGACCAATATTGGGTCAAAGCTAGGTCAAGGATAACTGTATACATAACAATTTATAGCCTTTGCTCCATACTTTGTTGAAGGACCTTTGACAGCAATTACAGCCACAAGTCTTTTTGAGAATAATGCTACAAGGATACTATCCCTACAATGAAGCATGGTGGTGGCAACATTATATTGTGGGAACAGGGAGACTTGTCAAGGTCGAGGGAAAGATAAATGCAGCAATGTACAAAGTCATCATTGATATTAACTTGCTCCAGAGCAATGTGGTCCTCGGACTGGAGCAAAGGCTCATCTTCCAACAGGCCAAAAAACTTAAGCAGAAATCCAAGACAAGAAAGCAGTGGCTTCTGGACCACTCTG